AACTTCTGTACCACGAAAGGAGACTGCAACCACACAAAAGGTCACACCATCTTGGTCTTCATAGCTTTAATAGAAAAGATTGTTTGAGACGGTCGGGATGGGGACAATTTTGTGTTGATGTGCGCCGAGAATGTTGTCCTGTCCTCGGCGCTGTGGATGGCGGGTAGAAATGGGATGTCGGTGACGTAATCGAGAGGAGCCTGGGCGAGCTGTTCCAATCGACAATTCGTATGAATGCCACGTCAGTGGGACCGACATGTTTGCAATCGGGAGTGTAGGGCGCAGGGAGTGGGGTGGGGGGCTGTGTTGACATTGTCCATTCCAGATGGCCTCCTGCAAGTGCACTTTTGCTTTTCTACTCTTTTCAGCTTGTCGTAAACTTGTCGTCCAGGCGCGGCGAACACGACTCGCAATCGTTCTCTCTCCTTCCCCAACATCAGCCCATTGGCAATTCGGATTCGCACACACACAAACTCATGCCGAGTATGTGCAGGCACATGTCACAGACTGAAACGCTCTCACCGACCTCCTCCTCACCCCACTCGCCCTCGCAACCAAATCGGTCCAAGAGGCCGGTGGGAGCTGGACGCGAAAACCGCCAAAATTATGACAACTGCCGCCTCGACGGAGTGACCTTCACTCGTCGCCGTCAGACTCGCCGTTCGTCTTCGCTGACGGCCTGGCAGGCAGCTTTTCCCGTCTCCTCGCCGTTGTGCTACGTTGCTTTACGTTACATTGGTCAGCGCTCAATGCAGTCGCCAATCGACATTCGTATCAGTCCTCGCCGTTCGCCAATTTTGACTAATCGACGCGTTTACTGCTGTCACAAACATCTTCGCCGTTCGCAGGTGCCTCACTCCAATGGACACTGCCGCCCGAAGTCTGAAACAGGCTTGCGGACGACCGCGCGGGTTGCCTCGCCGTTCGACATTATCCATTTCCACTTCGACATCGTGTATGCTTGTCTTGCATGCGTCTTCGTCTTGGCGGACTTTCTTTTTCGAATAAAGTATTGTTCTCGTCACTACCAGCAAATCAGTAGTATGAGATGCATCACCCTATTTCGTGTAAGGTGATAAAGGACTGGTAGAAGAAGAATTGTCCCACAATGACATGAGTTGAG